TGCCGGCTATCGGCCGTCGGCATGGGCGCCCCCCGCAGGCTGCGCGGGCTCCTCGGCTGGCGCCTCCTGCAGGCTGCCTACTGCAGTCGTGCTGCTTCGGCGTATGAAGAGCGCCTGAAGCACGTTCTGCGCTGCCGCTGCTTGCATGGGGGCTGGGCTGGCGCCTGCGCTCTCCTCGGGCAAGGTTGTCATCGCCGCGTTGGCGATGACAGCTGCTGCGTCTCCTGGATCAGTAGTATCACTTGCAGGGGTCAGCAACGCGGTCATGCCGCTGCACAGCGGTCACGCCGCTGCGCCTGAATGGAAAGATGGCACGGCTGGGGCATCAGAGTAGAGGCTCGCCACTTTCATCGTCTGAATGCAGGGGCACATTCGCTGCAGGACGCTTGCTAACCGCGCGCATCCTGGACGACATGGCGCGCGCTAGTGAGCTTCCGACGCAGTCGCTCGCCACGGGAAGCCGCTCAAGTGGCTGCGCATGGAGAGGACGTGCTAAGCGGCCCCGCCGCTGAAGCACGAACGCGTGAAGCGGTCGCACTGCTGAAGCACCTGCATTGCTATCGCCAGACCTACTTTCAAAAAAATGCGAAGCAAAGCTGTTGGCCCGCTGAGGAGGAGGAGGAGGGAGAGGAGGGGGAGAAAGAGGAGGAGGAGGAGGGACTACGTTCTCCGGAATTTTGCGCAGACGGCTATTTTTCACCATTTTCATTTTTCCATGTATTCCATTCTTTTCGATGCTATTTTCACTATGTTCACTATATTGTAGGATGTTTTTCATTATTTTTCTATTCTGCTTTATCATTATTCCTAAATTCATACTGCATGTTGATAGCATACTATAGTGTACAATAGAGCTGTATAGTTCTATGTATAGGCACGTCACGCATCTCAGTGGAGGCACCCCCCTCCCCCCTCCCCCCCTTCCCTGGCAAAGCCGCCCCAGCGACCCCTCCCAAGCAGAGCTGAAGCTCTTGCTTAGGCTCAGAGCTGAAGCTCTTGCTGAGGCTCCTTCACACGCCGGATCGGCGGATTTTCAAACCAAAATGTAGAAAAATACAAAAAGAACGAAAAAACGAAGAGAACGAAACACCTCGAGAAGAGCGAAACAACTCCCGTCGACGGAAAGTTTGTCGCTCTTTTCGGGCTCTGGGGGCCCGTGCCGGGCCTCGGGAACGTCAACAAAGAACGACTCAGGATGACAAGCGGGTCCCCCGGGAATGGGTCCGAACCTCTGGGGGCCGCGTCATGTGACAAAATCATGACGTCGGGGGTCTGGTCTCGGGCTCCGGGCGCCGGCAGAAGGTCAACCATCTCGGGAGGCCGCCGTGGGCCGCCTCTGGGTACCACCCACAAGAGGACTTGTGCTCCGCGTGCGCAGTGCGGGCGGGCCCTGGAGGAGGGGCTCCAGAGCTCGGGGGGCCGATGCCGTGCGAAGGCGCCGCGGCGCCGTGCGGGGCGCGGGACGGCGCAGGAGGGGCCAGGGTGGTGTCCAGCAGGAGGCGTCCAGAAGGCCTCCAGACGGCCCCATCAACCCAGACTTACTTCGGGCACGTTCCTCTTCAAAAAAAAGAAGGAATAGTATGGGGACGATTTGGGGGGCAATTTTTCATGTTTGACAATTTTTCAAGGTTTTTTTGTTTTCATCATTTTTTGTGCAAAATCCGCATGTAGGGAGACATGCCCGACCTAAACCCAGACCCCATTCCCAGACCCCCATCGAGTCTTGAAAAAAACACGATGGGAGGCTTTTTGCTCTTTTCGGGCCCTGGGGGCCCGTACCGGGCCTCGGGATGAGACCCGGGGGGCCCGGGAACGTCCAAAAAAGATTCAGGATGAAAAGCTGGTCCCCGGGAATGGGTCCGGACCTCTGGGGGCTGCGTCGTGAAAAAATTATGATGTCGGGGGTCTGGGTTCGCGTCGTGAGAGGAGTCGCGGCGGACGGTCTTGGTCTTAGGGCGTGTCCGGCCTCGGGGGGCCCTCACCGGGCCCCTGCGACCGTTAGCAAGACAGCCCAGGACGAGAATGCGGCCCCGTGGAAGGGTTCGATATTTCTGGGGATCGATACTTTTCGAACGACCAAGACTTCGGGGCCTGGGGTGATGGCCCAAGTTGGCAGGGAGGCCTCCCGAGCGTCTGTCCGAGAAGCCAGAAGCGCCAAACTAAAATATATTAGATGCTTGTTCGTTTGATACTTCTGCTGTCGCCTTTTTGCTCCGCTGGGCTTTCTGCATCTCAGGACGGCCCCAAGGGAACCCCAAGAGGGATCCTGAAAGGCCCGAAGGGTAGTTTTGAGCAGGGCAGAATCGCTAGTGGATGGTTTCTTTGTTCCTACGTCAGCGGCCAACGATGTTGCGGCCGCGTTCGTCGCGTGTGCTGGCTGGAAGCTTCAACGATGAAGAGCCTTGCCCTTCACAGCATGTGATACGCAAGGAAGCATCGTTCGATGAGGAGGGGAAGGAGAGGGGGGAGGAGTGAGGAGTGACATGTTTCGCAAGCAAGCCGCGCTCTGCCACATTACATGGGTGTTCTGGGGCCGGCTCTGGACAGAAGAAGCCCGAGCGGACCTCCACAGGCTTCTGTTTGTGTCGTGTTTCGATCGGAGGTTGATAAACCTCGTACCCTGACACGTCGATTAGCGAACTGGCCGTTTTCGGTTCGCGAGAGGGCGGCGCGGCCGTTATTCTTGCGGGTTCAGGTCCGTCGGTTTCGGTCTCGGGTCGTTCTCACTGAGGGGTGGTCTACTAAAGGGAGGTTTGTCCACCGCCGACTCGTGAACTCGAAGACGAGCCACCCTGAGACTTCTCCCCAGAACCCAGTCCGCTTTGCACCACTTTGCACTGCTCGGGACAGGGGTCCCGACCACCTTCTCTAGGCTTGCTTGGTGGAGTCATCGTCCCATCAGTTGGGAAGCTGGCAGTTGTCATCATCACGTGTCTTCTCGGGAAAGAGAAAGAACCCAGCCCGGGGAAAATCCGGGGGCCCGGTGAGGGCCCCGAGGGCCCGAGAGCGGAAACGAACACCTCAGGATTCGTTTTTTCCAGAGGACCCGCTTGCTTCCTCGCGACACTCGGATCGGACGGGGGTGCTCCAAATCCCCTATGAATCGACACCCCCCCGCTAAAATCCCGGCCCCCCCTCCAAATGCGACCTAATATTCTGGACCCCCCACTTCGACGGGGCGCCTTAATATACCAGACCCCCTAAGCTCCAATCCAAAGAAAGCGCCCTAATAAATCCGACCCCTCCAGTTACAAAAAAGGCGGCATAAAAAAACGGACCCGGGGGAGGATGAATAAGGGACTTGGAGTAGATCCGTTCCAGAGCGTTCCAAAAACACTCAGAGCGTTCTGGAGCGCTCTGAGAAGGCCGCGGCGCCCGAGACACCCTCCAGAACCGCCGGATCTCAGAAATTCAAACATTTTCTTCACCCGAAAATACCCTCGTCCTGGCTTTGTCTCATGGGAGGTGAGCCCCCGCCAAGTTCACCCCGAAAAGATTAGCCGCTCAGAAAAAAGGGGGAAACTCTGGGATGTACCCACGGGGGCCATATTCGGAAGCACTCCTGTCGAGGATGGGCCCCCCCCCATCGTAAATCCTAGGGTTGGGCCCCACGTCCCACCAGCCCTCTGGGCGTATGTGGTTTTTACGAGCTTTGCCTTCTCTCTGCCAAGCCCTTCCTTCACTTGCTCGGAGGAGGGATGCACCCTTCCCCCTGCCACCTCCCCTGAGCCCACGGGGGGGGGGGGCAGAAGGGTTAGAGCGTACAAGGTGGCCCAAGATGGTTCCAAGAGGGTCTCAGAGAGCCCACGATGGACTCCAAGACGGCCCAATATGATTCAAGATGGCTCAAGATCGCCTCCGACAAACATCTAAGAGGCCTCAAGACGGCCCCAAAACGGTCTCAAGTGCCCTCCGAGCCCTCCACGGACCCCCCAAGAGAGGCTAAAACGGCTCCAACACCAAAGAAACATCAATACTGTCAGCCTTCTCGCCTTTTCGCTATTGATGGGCTCTTGAGGCCTGACGATGGCCCCAAGACGGCTCAAGGGAGGCCCCAAAAGTGGCCCAAGAGGGCCTCAAGAGGGCCCCAGGAGTGCCCAAGAGCACCCCAAGAGCGCCCCAAGACGGGCCCAAGACGTCATTGTGGAGCCTCCGAGGGGGGGACCCCCTCTTTTTGACCAGTGTGCCTAATGTTGCCTCAAGAGGCCTCCCAGACCCCCCAAAGAGCCCCAAAAGGGCCCCTCACACCGTCCAAAAAGCCCCAAGAGGGCCACAGGAGTGCCCCAAAATGGCTCCAAGAGACCTCCGGAAAAACCCTTCCAAGGCGGTCGTTACACTGCATGCGTCTACACTTCCTTGGTCAAGGCAATTCGCCTGGCAATTCCTGGATGGGTTGGTGGGGATTCGCGAATCGTCATTAGTTGTTGGTCCATTCGAAAACCCCACGAAGCCCAGGATTGTAGTCGACGTATCCCCTGCTAAAGAAGGCCAACTCAAACCCCGTTGTCGTGTTGTTTCACGACGTCGACTCCCAGAAGCTCTGGACCCTTTCCCCAGGACCGGTTTTTCACCCTGAGTCGTTCTTTGACGGCCTCAGGGCGGGTAAGGGCCCCGGAGGCCGAAAATAACGAAACACCATTTTCCATGATTTTAAGTGATTCGATGGGGTTTGGGGATTCGAGTCGACACAGCCTCGGCCTCCACCATCCGCACCTGCAGGACGGGAGATGCCGCGCATCGGCGGCCGTCAGAGCGGCCGCGGTCGAGGCCGCCGTCGAGGCCGCAGCGGCGGTCTCGGCGGTCTCCGCGGCCGCGCCGCGGCGGCAACTGCTGCGCGGAAGGTTCGGAACGTGGAGGTTACTCTAGGCCTCTTAGATGGGGTCGGAGTAGATGGGGTCGGAGGATCGCGCCGCATCGCCGATGCATCGCCGACCCCACCTAGGGGGTCTCTAGTTAAGGGTACCCCTTCTGGAAGAAGAGCGCACCGCGGCGCCCGGAAGGCTGATCTTCAACGACGCGCGGCGGCGCCACGTGGCCAGGCGGGCGGCCCATCCTTCCGGCAGCCCTCCGCGAGAGGGCGCCTCCGGCCCCCGCTCTGTCCGCATGGGGCCTCTCTGCCGTCCAGCGAAGTCGGGGTAGTCGAAGGAGAACACGTGCCTCGGAGGAGGCTAAGGTACCCTTATCGCTACCCCTGCCTCGTTTCCCCTCTTTGGGGCCTCCTGGGAGGCCCTCGTCGCCATCGCTGCATTCGCCTCGAAATTATTGTCTGAGCGCACCCCAGGAGAGGTCCAGGGAGTGGCGGTATCGGTACCTTTGTTCCAGGGGAGGGAAAAACCACCCTGACTGGACAGTTGACGGCCCTGGACGTTTACTAAACAGCTCTGCCTTGCTCGATTCCTTTTTTTCGGCGCGTTTACTAAACGACTTCGCGTGGATTGTTCGAGTGGATTGTTTGACTCCTATTGTTTTCCCCATCTTCCCCAGACCCCCAGACGCGACCCCCAGAGGTCTGGACCCATTCCCTGTGACTGGTCTTTCATCCCGAGCCGATTTTTTGACTGTCCCGAGGCCCGGGAAGGGCTCCCAGAGGCCGAAAACAGCGCAAAACTTCCCGTCGTGATGTTTTCATGATTCGAGGGGGTCCTGGGCCAGGAGGACCGAAGGAGAACATGTGTTTACGCTGCAGCACGGCAGGGGTGCGATCCGCACGGGCGCTCGAGTCGTCGGGGACCTGCGGCTGACAAGTGATCTGGTTGCAAGGGGGGGCGCGCGGGGGGGAGGAGCTGCTCCTCCTCCTCCTCCTCCTCCTCCTCCTCCTCCTCCTCCTCCTCCTCCTCTCCTCCTCCCTCCTCCTCCCTCCTCCTCCCTCCTCCTCCTCCTCCTCCTCCTCCTCCTCCTCCTCCTCCTCCTCCTCCTCCTCCCTCCTCTCCTCCTTCTCCTCCTCCTCCTCCTCCTCCTCCTCCTCCTCCTCCTCCTCCTCCTCCTCCTCCTCCTCCTCCTCCTCACCCCCCTCCTCGCTCTCCCATCCTCGGGTCGCCATCCTCATCCCCTTCGAGACCCCCACCAAATTACCACCCCAGTTGGGGATACACCCCTCGAGACCCGGAGGGAACGGCCTATATCCCCATCCAGGGGGGTAAATCGGCCAGTCGGACCCAGGCCACGCCGCTGGGGATGGGGATCGGTTAAACGATGCTCAGGGAGGGAGGAGGAGGGCACTCACGGCTGAAAACGCTTCAGGATCGAAGGAGAACACAGGATTAGGAGGGGAGAAAACATACGGACACAAGTCATCGTCGATCCCCAGGAAAGTGTGGAAGAGATGGGAAGTGGAGGGGAGTACGAACATCCAGGACACATGGAACATAGGGTGAATCTTGACACGTGTGTCTGTGTATCAGTGTGCCCCTGAGCGCCATTCAGAGGACCCAAGGAGAACGCACCGCAGTTCCGCGCTGGATGCCTGGACCCGCGCTGCCCCCCCCCCCCCCCCCGGAAGGTGTTTCACTATTTTCGAGCTCTGGGGGGCCCCACCAGGAGGAGGGCTCCGCGCGCCAGAGAGGGGTGTGTCCAGCTCCGACCAAAGAATCCGCGCGGACATTCGAAGTGCTGGCTCTGTGCCGATTGTTCTCCCTCAAGAGGAAGGGACCATGAATTATGGTGTGTTAGTCAATTCTTCAGGCGGTCCCTTGACCTCCACCTTCCGAACCTTCCGCGCAGCAGTTGCCGCCGCGGCGCGGCCGCGGAGACCGCCGAGACTGCCGCTGCGGCCTCGACGGCGGCCTCGACCGCGGCCGCGCCGGCGGCCGCCGCTGCGCGGCATCTGCCGTCCGGCAGGTGCGGAAGGTGGAGGTCGAGGGGTTGTATGCCAGTCACTGCCCAGCGACGACCAAGGCAATCCGCGCAGGGTCCCGAAAGTTGCGTTTGTGTGCAATTTCTCCTGCTTCGAATTTCCTGCTTTTCCTGTGCGGTGTTGTCTTCATGCCAACTTTCGTTCTGTTGGATGGGGGCCCATACGGCAAACCGGCGGCGCGCACAGTGTTTTTGCAAAGGGCGGAGGCAGCCCTGTGGCACGATGCAGGGAGGACGCGGAGGCGGCGAGGGCTCAAGAGTGGAGGATCGGCGTCGCCCCCAAAAATTAATACTATGTGTTCATCGCCCCCAGGGGTGACGCGCGCACCGAGAAATCTTATAGTATATGCGTCGTGGCGGGCGCTTTCTGGCCACACCATTCGGGAAACGATATGCTACAATATGGGTATACTATTCAGACAGTGGCGAAGCGTCCTGGCGTGCCTATAGAAATCCGCGCGTACCTCCGAGCAGTTACGTGAATGCCGATGTGTCTTCTACTACTATTGTCTCCTGAACGTTTCTTCGTCCCCATCCCCTTCTCATCCGCCTCGTTCTCAGCCTCCGCCTCGTCCGTGCTCTTCCCTGGCTCAGCCCTCCTCCTTGTCCCGGACACTTTGCTCCCCGTGCCCTCGTCGGCCCTTTCCGCTCTGTTCTGGCCCATTGCAGCACGCGCGCCGGGCCCGTTTGCACACAAGTTTCAAGACTGCACATCTCTCATCCACTTTCCACTACTACAGTGCACGTCGTGCACATGTCCACCGCGCAGGGCCCGCAGTGGAGCCGCGCAGGCGATGCCGCACACGCCTGCGCAGGCCCTCGGCCCCGAGCCGCGGAGGCTGCGGGCCCAGGCCCGGCGAATCGCTGCGTCTCCACGGAGCCCCTGGTGGAGCATGCGGCCGTGCTCACGGGAAAGGCGCCGGTGAACTTGGCGCTCACGGCCCCCACCAGCGCCGTCCGGATGGGCGGGGCCTTCTCGTTCATGTGCACCTTGAGGATGGACAGTTTCGGCAGCTGGAGCCGCGTGTTCGACTTCTCCCTCACGGCCGACGAGGACAGCATCACGGCCGGGGCCGTCGGGCTGACGGGCGACTTGCACTTCACCGTCTTCCGGGGGAGGAAGCCGTTCAGCACACGCGTGAGCAATTTCTTCGAGCTCGGGAGAGAGGCGACCATGCTGTGTACGGTCTCGAGCTCTGGGCACATGCGGGTATTCAAGGACGGCGAGCTCGTGGGGGAGAACGAGGAGGGCCTGGCCCCGCTGAAACAGGACAGGCCGCGCATGATCGTGGGCGGCCACTACTTGTACACCGACCAGGCCTTCAACGGCAGCTTGAGAGACGTGAAGATGTGGAACCAGGAGGTGCCGTGGTCGATCATGGAGAGTGCCGAGGCGCCGCACGTGCCGAAGGGCGGAGGAGTCCCCGGCATCTTCGAGTCCGCTTTCGCTCCCCCGGGCAAGGATCGGAACGTGCCGGTTATGGTAATCGTCGAGTCTATCGATGCCGAGTCCGTCGGTGCCGAGTCCTTCGATACCGTCTCTTTCGTTTCTGACATTGGTGCAGACGCCACGCTGAGCTAGGCATGTGCGTTCGCCCCACCGATGCGGGGAAGGTGTCCACGCGGGCGCATCCCAATCCCCCTAATACTGACGTATCTTGAAGAAGAACCGCGGACAGTGTGCCTTCACCATTCGTGTGCCAAGTACGCAGCGAGTTTCAAGGTGTCTAGTACAGGGCGCACTTTTGCAGGCGCATGGAGCGTGTAACCGTGCCACCACCGTACCACCACACATGGGAGGATCTCTGCCACGATTGTGCCCCGCGCCAACCTCTGGGCGCGAGGCTCCATCCGTTCTTCTCTCCCTTTTGGCCTTGCTGTGAAGCCGAGGCGCGCGGGGTCAAGACCTCACACCGCGGCGCTCTGATGCACAACATGGAGTCCGCTCCCTTCTCGTCCCGTCCTCCTCCCCCTCGCTCCCTCCTCCCCTCCTCGAGATGCTTGGGGGTGCCGTGGCTGGGGGGTCAGAGTGCCGAAGACGCCTGCGGCGAGCCACCGCCGATTGCACCGCATAGCCTGCACAACATAGATGGCACAACATAGGCTGCGCCGCACAGATCGCACCACGTCGACTGTTTTGCATAGATTGCCGCGCAGCTTTTATGGCACAACGTAGGATTCCCCACAGCGATTCCCCTTTCTTTCAGACTTGCGCAGACGCCGGGCGTTTGTCGCAGACGAGTGGTGAAGGCTCGTTCGACCGCGGAGGGATCCTGGTTCGCCGAAGTGCTGTCAGGGCGACGGGGGGGAGCACGCGGGGTTCCGAGCGAGGGGCCGTCTTGTTTTTTGGGGGGCCGCCCGGAGCGTTTTTTGGCAGCCTCCTGGAACGTTGGGGGGCCGGCGTCGGCCGTCTCGAGGCGTCTTGATGTTTTTTGGGGCCGCCTGGTCGCTTTGGCCAAGCGTGCGGAGATCATCCCAGGGCCATCTCGGGCGCGTCCTGCGATTCGCCCGGGGTCCTGGGTGGTAGTCCGCTGCGTCCCCAGGAGTCGGGCCCAGGGGCCAGCGGGCAGCGTCTGAAAGAGAGGCGGTGGCGCGCCCGGGGAGCAAGGCTTAAAAATCGGGCCCGTCCCTCGACAGGAGGAATGTTCAGACATAGTCCAACAACAGTCCGTGGACGATGTTTTGTGTATGTTTGCGCATGTTTGGCGCATGTTTCGACAAAGACTATTTTTCGTTCAAAGTCCGCCTGTAGGGGGACATGCCCGACCCAAAGCAAGGCAGAGGGGGCGGACTTTCCCCGAAGCCACGGAGGGCTTCTCAGAAGGACCAGGGGGCTCGAGAGAGGCCCCGTCGCCTTATGAAAAGGCCTGTTCCCTCTCACCTCCGCCCTCGGAGCGCCGCCGAGAGACGAGCATCGGCATCAGCCAAACCGACTTAATCATGCGATGTGCGCGTCGAGAGCACAGAGGCGGCGCGCGCGCTCCGAGATCTTATAGTATATGTTCGGTGGGGGGCGCTTTCTGGCCGTGCAGTCCGGATACCCCCGAAGGGTCTTCAGGCACCCCCAACAAGAGAAACGCATTATTTGTTGGCGGCCTTTTTGACAGACTGGCGTCGCACCGATAGAGGGAAACTAGTGCGGTGTTTCCCCGCGGCGCCCGCCAGCAGCGCTCTCATGGAAAATCGT